ATATTGCTGTCAGCTAGGTTTAGTTCATATCTCTACTCCCATCTACTGTTTCAGCTGGTTGTTTATAATGCTTACTTTAAACACCGAGCTCATTTATCACCTCCTAATCTTTGTTGTTTTTCTTAATTTTTACTCCTGTTGCTAACATCGCCAAGTATGATTAACTCGCAACAGCTATGTGTGTTTCCTTGGTAACTAACAGATCAGTTAGTGTTTCTGGTTAAGATTTCCCAGTGCTAGCAACACAAAAACTATTTGTTTCCTCATTCGAAGTTTGTCATATGTAGACTTTGTTACGATAAAAGAAACCACAAGAACTATAAGTAAAATAAATTAATATATATATATATTTTTTTACACCTAATACAACACACTGTTCCATCTACCTTACACATTCCCTACGTCTGAATCTCGATTCTGTAGCCCGTGCTTCTGGAACGCGTCACGTGAGCTGTAATTTCCGGTTGCATAAAAAAATAAGAAAATAAATGAAAGCTCTTACATAATATCTCATGTTAATAACACATAGTGATGCAGAAGTAATTTATTGTTCTTGGAATCACTGCGGATTCGTGAAAGAAAAATAACTTTTTTTTTCGCTTGTACTAAAAAATATAGGTCAGCTCCTGCTCTAACACACTTGGTATCTCCACTATTATAAATATCATAAAGCTGTAGCTGAATCATTTACGGACTATGTTCACGATAGTAAAAGATACGTACGATAAAAAAAGGTGGCTGATTATCATTTAGAAAAAAAACTGATAAAACCCTTGCACTTTTTTTACAGGTGCAACTGAAGACCTTACTCCTGAATAAAATAGGTCCACCTGTCGAAAGCGCTTGGGGTTTTATTGTTTTATAATGCTATCTAGGAAATGATAAATGCATATATTAAAATTAATTTCGGCCGCCCACTTGAGCTAATGTTTTGATGGCTGCGCCATCTTGTGGTAGAAAAGTGCAGCTGGTGTAAGACAATCACATTAAAACATTGTACAAAGAGAATGTAGTTGGAGAGCAAACATCTCAGACCTTTTAATTTCGTTGTGAAGAAGTAGAACACGGGAACTTAGACTTAACAAATACATTGTGATGAAAACAAAACACATTCAGTAAAGGTGTAAAAACCACGTTATTTATGGGGTCACTATCGAAGATCTGAAGTCTTGCGACTCCCGACAACAAACCCCACATAGACAACTTTGTTGCACGGCACGGGGGCGACCTGGAAACATTCTAAAACCAAACAAAATTCAATTCGCTAAAAATAAATGCTATCCTTAAAAATGATAAATTATTAACATTGAATGATCATAATATATTATAGATGTGTTCTTGGATATAACCGAACCTGAATCTCTATGTAGTTCTGAAGTGTTGCAACATCGGGTTTTATCAGCTCAGCTGTACAAGTAACATGGGTGCGTAGAAGTCCAACAAATGCTACATATTGCCCGCACTAAACAGATGTAATTTTGTTATCTAAGATATGCAATAAGTATTGTTTACAAACCACTCCAGTTCGACTTATTCTAAACCGAAACTTTAGAAACCCTTATTTTATTTTGTCATGTGCTTGCTACGTTCAAGCTCCTGAGAAGTGAAACACATTACTGATAAAACTGCCCATCTGGAACTTTCCGCGTCATTAACTTTAAGTGTATCTGTTTACGATTACCAAAACGTTTGTGGCTATATCACGTACTCGGCAACATTAAAAAGGACAAGATTTTCAAGAGAAAAATTTCAAATTACTTCCTACACAATTTCGACTTTTACAGTTCTAGCACGTCAAGGATTAAGAAAAAAAATAATAGAATTCAAAAATACCTAAAGTTTTATTGATATCCTAAAACATGACATTTATTTCAGACGATAAAGTTTCGAATCTTATCCTGATAGCAGAGTTTGAGTTAAATATCCCTTCAGTGTTAGGCTAGTTTTAATTAAATAAATGGCGCACAGTTAAAGGCTTTGTTTTTCTCCACGTAATACGTTTTTTATTGTTATTATTTAACGGCCAGCTTTCCAGCAAACATCTACGTATTTCATCTTTACCAGTTTTAGATGAATCATTGTTTGAAACGAGGAGGAAAGATATTTACTAAAATTAAAACGAGGAAAATTTGATTGAAAATGAATATTGTTGTAAGCTATATTTGCAATGTTTTGATTTAATGGTAGCTAGAGGGCGCGTTAGGTTAAGATCTAGTAAATGTCTAGAAGGGTATATTATTATGAATATTGGTAAGCAGTTAAGAGTTCTGTGAAGTATTAATTTGAGTTTTGAATGAGAATTCAAGGAAGATAGTGAGTGATCGCCTATATTCTGTTGGAAGTGAAAATATTATTTGTGAATTTCGGCCTACAATTGTACACAAGTGAAAGTAGCCTGCAGCAAACGCTTAGGAAGAAATAATAAATTTGTTATTGTTGCGTGTACTGGACTTCGCATTATTTTCACCAAGTTGAACTACAGAAGTGGCAACACATCTCACAACAATATAATAAAAGCTTCCAAGCTTTTTCAAGAGCTCTCCCTAGGTGGGAGGGTAGGCTGATTCTAAAAGTTTGTATCATTTCGTTTGTGAAGAGTTTAGTCAATATGAGCTGGGTTGTTGCTAATGCTCAAGCCACCGAGTGGAGATAACTGGAATTAACTGGAATTAAGTCGAATATGTTCTCAATATCGAAGCAAGTTTTATATCAAGGGTAACTGCAGTTTTCAAAATCTAAAGATAATTTTAATTAATGGACAGACCAAAATGACTGACCACCTCCGAATCACATAGGTTTGTGGAATTTTATAGTTTTCTTCGGTTACAGCTTATGTTGTGGTTGATGTTGTTTATAACTTAATGTCTAAAACTGGTTAAAAAGTGCAAGTTTGTTTGATTCTCTTGTAATAGGAACAAGTTTAATTTATAAAGTTGCCAAAAATATAATAATAAAATCGTAATGATCGATCATCGCGTGCGTGTTTTGACACTTATTCGTTAACAGTCGAAAAATTTACTAAGATGAATGCTGCTGGTACAAAAGTACCTCCCCAAAATAAACTTTCATGCAATTGGACAATTTCCATTCTCCGTGATGGTACGAAACATCGGCCATGGTGAAGAACCAGAGCCAAGTGATAAAGAGGAAGTCCTGTAGAACTTGGGAGGTGTTCGCACATCTGTCTTTAACCACTACCTGAACTGTTGCCCAAAGCTGTTCCTAATTTTGAACCGATAGATTAGAATTAATTAAAGAATCAAGCTAACAGGATCCACCGCAAATTCTTGGGCCAATCTTTACTGACCGAATAGTAATGTTGGACCGTCATTCTTATAGAGCAGCCACGGCCCCAAAGTGCGTAGGACGTTTCTGCGGCAACGAGACATGTACCATGAATCATAAGTCCATTACCTTACTACATTACCACGTCTGAAAATGTGTTCTGAACTATGTTTCTTCTCTTGTCATACATTGGTTTGATTTGTTTTGAATTTCACGCAGAGCTACACGAGGGCTATCTGCGCTAGCTATCCATAATTTAGCAGTGAAAGACTCTTGGGCTACTCTTTACCCACGAATAGTGGGATTGACCGCCACCTTATAACGCCCCCACGGCTGAAAGAGCGAGCACGTTTGGTGGGACGGGGATTCGAATCCCCAACCCTCAGATTGCGAGTCGAGCGACCTAGCCACCTGACCATGTCGGGCCTTCTAGTCATACATACGTCAGATTGCGAGTCGAGCGACCTAGCCACCTGGCCATGTCGGGCCTTCTAGTCATACATACGTCAGATTGCGAGTCGAGCGACCTAGCCACCTGGCCATGTCGGGCCTTCTAGTCATACATACGTTTTACTTGTTGTTTAGCGCAGAGCTATACAATGGATTATCAATACTTTGCTCACAGCAGGTATCGAAACCCGATTTTTAGCGTTAAAAGCCCTCAGACTCACCGCTGATCTACCGGGCCCATCATACATAAAGAGAAATAACATAATAATGGATTACCATTATTGACAGATTTACTGTTTGAAGAAAACGTAACAACACGTGTAGAATACAAATTAAACTAAAAGAAAGAATGTCGAACTATTTTGTCACTTCCGTGTAGTACACCCTTTCTTTGTTTATTCTGCCATCTGTTGTTTGTCGTTAATTATCTCACACTTAATAAGCAGGAAGTTACCAAGAAATTCTCTGGTCTATCGCTACACCCTAACGCCAGAGAACCCAGCAACAAAAAACCAGGTTTTACACGTGTGAAATATATCATTGAAAACACTGCGAACAAACTAGTCAAAGATGTCTGTTTCAAGGTTAAAGAGCAATTGTGATGACATTACTAAAATGTTTCTATCAAACTCTTTGTATGGTACAGATGGAACTATAAAAAATTCAAGATGGTTAAAAAAATAGCCCGTCGAAAATGTAATATAATACACACACACATACACATCAAACTTCAGTTTTTAATTTTATCCTGGTGGGTCGGCGGCAAGTTTATGAGCTTGGAACACGAAAGTCCGGGGTTCGATTCCACACGGTGGACAAAAACAACAAAAACAATCTAATTCCACTGATATTTCATAATTATCTCAATTCTGTTACATCTTCCTACTTGTATTAATATATATATTCTTTATTTTGTAGCTAGGCTTTGAAACTTTTTTGTAAGACATCAACTGCCAAGCCCTCGTAACTTCTCACATTTATTTTATCAGGTCTAACTGCCTTCACTAAGCACGCTGTGAAAGAAACAACACGTGAAATCACAGTCTACTCTCGTTATTAACTCAGAGATCCAGATGTTGAAACTTTGTTTGTGAAAAAGCTGAACATTTTTGAATAATTGCCTCCCGCTGTACGTTGTGGATACTTTAAGTACCAAAGCGAGGCTGGCGCAAAATTGAAGGTCAAAACTGTCTGGTTGGTAGTTCGAAAACGATACATCATTGTCTCTGATGTCCTTGTTCAGCTCTTACTTTTATCCACTTCCTGTCTCTGTTTGTTAATACAGGGGTCGAGGTTGGAGAAAGGATCTGTATAATTACTTTGCTTAAAGCAGCCTGGGTTGTAAGGAAGTGATCTTCACGAAGGTGATGGGCACTAGAAGCACGTGACAATAGACCCCCCCCCTAGCCAGCTGTAAATGGTGTATCACTTAAGCACAGGAAGAAATGCGTATATTCAAGAGGCGTCGGAACCGGGGGTTCTATAGCATCCCCACTTTTATATATTTAACTTATATAACAACTGTAAGTTATATTATTATATTAATTTTCTGCATGTCTGTCCGAACAACTCCTTCTTAGATCACTGATATTACTGATCAAATGTATACCTTTGCTTAATTAGATGTGGTATATTTATAAAAAAAAGGTAGATACCATCTTTACTGTACTT